GGTTGGCCCCGGCAGCAGCCGTCCACAGCAGAGGAGGGGTCACCCTGGGCAGGGCCACCCCAAGGCCTCCTGCGCCAGCAGAGAGCCACCCTTGTCCTCCCCACCCCCAGCAATCCGGCATCGAATGAGGAAGTGGGAGGAGGAAAAAAAAATTTAGTTGCAGTTTGTAGTTGCAGCAGAAACACAAAAGCAAAGCACTTCAGGATGGCCCCCGGCCCTCGGTGACAGGAGCCCCTGGCTCCCCAGGGACAGGACGCAGGGACATCATGGTGAGTGCAAGTGGGGCCCTCGCTGGGCTCCCCCCACCCTGTCTCCCTCGGGCACCCTGGGGATGTCACCCCCTTCTCTGGCTACCTCAGCCCTGTCCTCTGCTGCACCCACCGCGGTCCCTTGCTGCTTTCCAGGAGGTGCCAGGAGCCCACCCCGTGTCCCCGCTGGAGAGGGGACGGTGCAGCGCAGGCTTGGGGACAGGGCTGGGAGCTGGGGCTGGGTGAGGCAGCGGCGCAGGACATGGCGGTGGGGAGCAGCTGGGGATGGGTGCTGGGTGCGGGGTCAGTGCCCCCGGCAGCGCTGACCCGAGCAGGATGGAGGGCAGCAGGCGCTGAGGCCGGGCTGTCAAAAAGTGGTTTTGATTTTTGCCGTCGCGGTACCCACAGGAGAAGCCTTGTGTTCCTCTTGGCCCAGCTTCCCACCAGTGCTGCTGGTTTCAGTGCTCATGGTGTGGGCAGAGGTGACGGGGGCAGACCGGCCAGCTCCAGCCGGGAAGGACCCTCTGGGTGTCAGCGCCCGGGGTCAGACCTCACACCCTGACACCTGCAGGGGCTGCGGGCAGGACGTGGGGCTGCGGGCAGGACGTGGGGCTGCTGCCAGGGCAGCTGCCTGGGCTGGAAGTGGATCTGGAGGCAGGAGAGGGAGGCAAAAGCTCTGAAGGAGATGCTCAGGCATGGAGTGAGGGTCTGCACGGCGTGGCCGCAGCCATGTCCTTCAGCCCACAGCTCTGCTCACTCCATGTCTCGCAGTGATGCTGTCCCCGGGGGTTTCCGCTCAGCCAGGAAGGGGACAGTGACCAGGCTGCAGCAGAGCCTTCTCCCACCTGTGGTCGTGGTTGTCACCTTGGAGAAGCTGCTCAAGTGCTGTCTGCCACAAGACACTGTCCCCTCTGCACTGTCACCCAAGACCTGAAGATGTTTTGTGGCTTCCCGAAGGGCCAGGGAGCTGCGCGGCCGCAACCTCGACCCCTTCTGGGCCCCAGCTCCAGGGCCGCCCCCATCCCCAAAACACCGGGTGAAAAGCCCCCTCCCCGAACCCTGCCGGTGGCGGGGAGCTGGTGGGGTTGTGACGGCCGTGCAACACCCTGTGCTGCTCTGCCCAAGGCTTCCGGTGGTTTGAAGGTGTTGGCTGCATCTGGGCTTGCCCTATCTCGAGATGAAAGGTGCCACCTCGGGCTGCGTCCCCTCCTTGCGTGAGGCTTGCAGGGTTTTTTTGGTGGCTCAGACCTGAGCTTTGAAGAAAAACAGATGATGTTTTGCAATTGCTGTCATGGGGCTTCTCCCCTCCCTGCCTCAGTGATCCTATCTTGAGCATCGGGTGCATCCGCGGGCACAGGCGGTGGCTGTGGTGGTGACAGTCCCTGTCCTGCAGCCCCAGGCTGGGATGCTCCTGGGGGTCCCGACGTGGATCCCCCCGCATGCGCCCGTCATGCGTGGGACCACCATCAGAGCAAAGTCCCTTGTGCAAAGCAGCTGCAGACGGCACCTGGAAGCCCAGGCCAAGGACTGCCGAAAGCCTGAGGATGAAGTGGCCTCGTGGAGGTGTTTGGCCCAGACCCCCCAGCCATCGCCATCTCTGGGGACCCCTGTGGCGGCGGCTGTCGAGCTGCTGCATCCTGGGACAGAGGAGGGGACCGAGGATCCGCCGCCCCGAACCTCTGAAAGCAAATTCAGCTCATGACCCCGCTCACCGCAGGGATGCTGCCGGCAGCCCCCCTCCCGCAAGGCCTCGCTGGGCGCTGAGCTTGGGCAATGCCACGTGTTTTGAGGGAGCATCGTTCCTCTTCATCCTCCCCACGAGACTTTTACCCAGCTTAGGGAGCCCTGGCCCCGCGGACCTCCCCGTGCTGCCTCTCGGGACGTGCTGAGGAAAGCCAGCAGACTTTGTGCTGCCAGAAACAGGGTGGAAACACCCACGGTTGTGCAGATGTTGGGGACAAAACCTTCATTTAGAGCGAGACAGTGCCCCAGCCGAGCCAGGAAAGCACCTAACCTGTGCCCGGAGGAAGAGGAGGTGTCGCGAAGGCATGCGCTTGTCGCTGACGGCTCTGAGCAGTCCTTTGACTGAACGAGAAGCTCCGGGTGTCAGCTCGAAAGCACCAAGCTTGCAATGCAGGAAATGCTCATATTTGCCTTAATTTGGTGCCGTAACGAGCCCTGCGAGCCCAGGGTGCCTGCGCCGGAGCACTCAGAGCAACGGAGGCAGGGGAGGGAGGACCGAGGACTTGGGCAAGAGGAGGGGAAGGCAAGAAAAAGACCCATAAGCAACAAACAGGAGGAAGATGAGAAGTTCCCTACTCGGTTTCAGGCTGCGTGAGCAGCCCTGGTGCCCCTGAGCTGCCCCAGGTCCACGCGTCCCAAGGGAAGGTGGTGGGACAACGAAGCCGAAAGCCCCTCCGCCGGCTGTGGGGGCTGGGGTTCTGGAGTCGCACTGGGGCTTTGGGGGGGCATGGACGGTATTTTGGGTTGCAAAGCCCGGCAGCCCAGCAGGGAGGGAGGCGGCTGGGGGGAGCAGCACGATGCTGCCGAGCTCCTCCACGCTCCGTGACAGTCCCTCTGTCCCCTGTCGCGACGGTGCCGGGTTGTGCTGAGCATCCGAGGGTGGGTGCGGGCGGCTGCAAGCAGGCTGTGAAAATCAGGTGCAGACAGAAGTGTGCAAAGACGTCAGGGTCCGGAGGCCTGAAATCTTCAGAGCCAGCAGGAAAATGAAGCAAAAGGGGAAGAGAAGAAAAGGGAAATGGAAAGAGTAAGAGGCCGGGGGCGATGGGGGGGAGGAGAAGTGAAATCGGTGCTGGGAGCGCTGGGTGAAAGCGGAACCGCGGGGGCCACGCGATGGGCGCAGAGGAGCCGTGGGCAGGTCCAGGTGGGGTGTCCCCTCCAGGACAAGGGGCCTTCAAGTAGTTTTTGCACGGTGAAATCTCACCCTCCGCTAACAGCCCAGGGCTGTGTTCAGCCCCACAAGGGGCTTCAGTCGCATCCCACGGCTTTCTGCTGCCCCACAGCCCCCGGGGGACAGAGCCAGGAGAGCTGGGGGGCGGATGGAAACCAGGTGCTGGCTTCTCCCTGGGCAGGGAGGAAAAGGTGATGGGGACACAGCCACATCTCTGCCCTGGTGCACGGGGACCAGAGGGTGCACAGCGCCGGGGGTGCCCCCACCAGCTGCAATTTCTGCCCTTCCCCTGGGTTATTTTTGCTCCCCCTTTGACTCATAAGCAGAGCCTGTGTGGCAGTTACTTCGTTAGTCCTTCGTTACCCCGTAACGAGCAGGGGTGATGTTACAAACTGTCAGTGCCCCATCTCCCCTCCCAATTGCCAGACCTGGGGTGAGGCAGGACCTGGCCAGAGGGACGGGGCAAGCCCAGGCGCAGCTGCGCTGGGATTCTGAGCTTTGCAAGGTCCCAGCGTGGCCAAAACACCCCTCTTTGCAGCACCCAAGGGTGCCTGCTCCAGCTGGGGCCAGTTACAGCTCCCAGCAGCGCAGGGGGAGCGGGGGCAGCCCCAGGCCGGGAGCCCTGCTGCCATCGGTGCCGGCCCCGGCGCAGTCTCTGTGCCCCTCTCCCCCAGGGCAGCAAGGAGCGCTTCCACTGGCAGAGCCACAATGTCAAGCAGAGCTGTTTGGACGACATGGTCCTGCTCTCCAAGATCTCCGAGGAGGCCATCGTGGAGAACCTCAAGAAGCGTTTCATGGACGATTACATCTTTGTATCCTTCCCGGGGCAGCGGGACGAGGCTGGGGAGCAGGAGGGCTCTGTTCCAAGGCTTTGCCAGGGCATGGGCGCTTCCACTGGCAGAGCCACAATGTCAAGCAGAGCTGTTTGGACGACATGGTCCTGCTCTCCAAGATCTCCGAGGAGGCCATCGTGGAGAACCTCAAGAAGCGTTTCATGGACGATTACATCTTTGTATCCTTCCCGGGGCAGCGGGACGAGGCTGGGGAGCAGGAGGGCTCTGTTCCAAGGCTTTGCCAGGGCATGGGCCAAACTGGGGCTGCCCCGATGCTTGCAGAGTGTCCCATCCCC